ATTAAAAATAAACAAAAAAGTATAAATTTTATTTAATGTAATTATTAAAAATAGTTGATAATTGTAACATTTAGCTAATAACTAATGAAACATCTAATATTTATTATTTAACATGGATTTAAAGCCAAAAAAAATCCCTCAACTTGTAAAAATGGTTCATTGCCATCCCTATTCTTCAGAAGAAGTAATGAAGATCCCTAAACTTTGTAAAAGAGGCCCACCACCGTCCCTCCGTCAACGACGTTTAACAGAAAAGTCGATTAGGCACTAACGACGTTAAAAAATTGCTGATGTAACACCAAGTCACCAATACACTTGACAATGGGCCTACCACTATTGAAAAATAAATTAAAAAAATTAAGAACAAACATAATGAAATAAATGTTAGAATAGTGTTTTCCTCCCATATATATGTTTTTAAAGGATTTACTTTAAAATTTACATTATAATAAATTAAAGGTAAGATTAAATATTTTATTTATGTAGATATTATATATTAATTTTTGAATTAATTTACCATTTATAATTCTTTGATCAAATACACTCTATTTGTAAGCATATATTTAGCAGTGTTACAAGTTAGTTAGACTTATTATATCAATTTAAAAATTGATATACTTAACCTACACAAATAAAGCTTTTAATTTAATAAATGATTTTTAAAAATATTAATTAAAGTATTATCTTTTAGAGATATTCTCCCACCATATTCTTGCAAAATGTTTACTCTGCCTATGAGCTTCTCTTTCAAAGGCCGCACCAAATACGAGGCTATCATTAGCAAAAAGCAAATGGGAAATTCTTAGTGCACCACGACATACTGCAGCACCTTTTAGGGTCCCTCTTTGTAGATCATCAGAAAGCATCATTGATAGGCCCTTCGCACACAAAAGAAAAAGAAAAGAGGACAAGGTGTCTCTTTGTCTAATCCCTCTTGATGGAGTAAACTTCTTGGTGGGGGAATCATTAACCTTAATTGAGTATTCAATGGAATGGATGCAAGTCATCACCTGTTGCACCCACTTTGAGGGCCGCCCAATTGCTTGCATAACTCCCTCTAAAAAATTCCATTCAACTCTATCAAAAGCCTTACTAAGGTCAAGCTTGATTACCATTTGCCCCTTGTTACCTTGCCTTTTATTTTTAAGATGGTGAACCATCTCAAACACCACCATAATGTTATAATATATAAGCCTCCCCAGCACAAAAGCACTTTGATTTTTCGAGATAATACTTGGCAACAATAGTTTCAATCTATTAGTGAGTACCTTCGAAATAACTTTATAAAGCACATTGCAAAGACTTATAGGACAGAAGTCTTTCATTGTACTAGGGTTTTTCCTTTTGGGAATTAGGACAATGTGAGTCATGTTCAAGCCTTAAGGCATAACACCATCATTCAAGAAACCAAGCACCGCCTTGGTAATATTTGCTCCAATAATTGGCCAGTAAAATTTGAAAAAACTATCATTCATCCTGTTAGGCCCTAGTGCTTTAAAGGAGTGAATTTGTCTTAATGCTGAGAGAACCTCCTTATCTATATACTTACTGTCCATAGCCATCACATGAGCAGGTGAAACTCGAGTCCCAATTTTTTATAGAACAGGATAAACCTCCCTTATAGCTATAGATGTAAAAATATTTTGAAAATAGGCAAGTGAAACCTGTTCAATTCCAGTTTGATCATTTACAACCTTTCTAGAGTAATCTTGCAATTTTCCAATCAGGTTTTTCTTCTTCCTTTCTGACGCACGCATATGGAAGAAGGAAGTGTTTTCATCCCCCTCCTTAAGCCATTGAACTCTTGATCTCTGCTTCCAAAGAATTTCTTCTTGCCTTTGTAGAGCTTTGAGTTCTATCTCAATGTTTTCTAGTGCTTCAGAGCTACATTCACTAGAGCTACCATCATGTAAGTGTTGTAACTCATCTTGCAACTGCTTTATTTGTTCTGGAATGTTCTCGAATTTATGTTCACTCCATTCTTGCAAAAGAACACCACATGACTCAATCTTATTGAGTACAATAGCCATAGTCGAGCCACCTTCTTCAATACTCGAAGCCTCATTAATAATTGATTTGCGTTCCTCATCCTTTAGCCAATAATTTTCAAAACAAAACTGTCATACGTGTTTTTGCCTTTATACTGCATTCGCTGCCATGCTTTCAATGAGATAGGTGAGTGATCAAAACAAATCATTGGAAGATGATTAGAGATAGCACTTGGGAAAAACTCTTCCCATTCTCGGTTCATGAGAACACGGTCGAGTCTTTCACGTAAAACTTCTCGTTGTTGCTTCCTAATGAATGTGAATCGAGGACCTTTAAACCCTAATGTAGACAATTCACATAAATTAATTGCATCACGGAAAGCTTCCATTTGCTTCTCCAAATTGGGATTACCCACCTCTTTCTGCAATTTCTTCACTATTTCATTAAAATCTCCCAAGCAAACCAATGCGAGAGATGAGGCCAATCACAAAGATTTAAATAGAGCCCAAGATTCATGCCGTCTAGCTACTTCAAGCTATCTATAAAAACCTATTACACGCCACTACAAATCTGTTGTATCTTTGATTTCCATATCTATATGAGATTGGGAGTAAGACAAAAGATTAATTTGCACTTTACTAGTCCATAGCGCAACAAGCCCACCACTACATCCAATGCTATCAATTGAAAAACAATATAAGAATCCTAATTCGAGTCAAATTTGTTCCATCTTTGCCATAGACCTTTTGGTTTCAGATAGAAAGATGAGATGTGTCTGTGGCTCTTTACTAATTTGTTCAATTCGGTTACAGTCAAAGAGTCACCTTGATGGGAATCAAGATGACCCCACATGTACCACATCAAGAGATCCATTACACATTCCAGGAGGTTCAATCATGAGAGCTAGAGCTAGGAAGATGCGAGAAACTTTAAATGGCCTTATTGAGCAGATCTGGGTTATAACAACATACAACAAGCAAATCAAAGCTTGTATGATTATCAAGGCATGGTAAACATCATTCAAGTTCAAGAGAAGCTTAGTTGTGGTCATTTGCACAGAATTACACAGTTTGCGTCAAAATCGCACAATTTTGTCGAAATTTGTAGCAAACTGATATTTCGTGTTATTTTAGGTTATTTTTAATGATTTTCACGTTTTTTGTATGCGACATATACAACGGGTCAAGGTCCTATTATAAACCTGATTTAGCTTTCCTGGAGTTTAGAAATCCCTTGTCGTACTGTGGGTCTTATTGTTCTCTTTGGGGTTCTCATCATCTTGGTATCAGAGCATCAGATCCCTAAATCAGGTTTGCATT